TCTAAAGGAGTATAGAAAGGAGGCCACTGGAACCTTGCTCTGGTAATAGCGTTTCTTCCTCAAGTTTCCTACTAATGATAAGGGAGCTACCAGGGAAGGTAAACAAGCCATGAGCTCAGTATCTGGAAGGCCTACAGGAGATATCCCCCCCTCCCCCCGGGGGGGCAGGAAATGGGTGATGAAACCCGTGGATACACTTAGGATCTTTTTGGTGCTATCTTCAGATAAGAAAATGTAAGTTCAGATTCATGCCCTGGAATCACGCGTGGACTGTACCAGCATCTCCCTTTGGGCATGGTGGGTATGTCAATGCAAATATGCACCGTAGCTAGCAGCTGTTTTACTGCTTTTATACCTGGTAGCTTATTCCTCTTTCAAGTAATGTGCCCCCCTCAGTGCTCTGAATAGAGCATATTGGTTTTTAAGCCTACTTTTCTCTAGTGATGACTGTCTTGCCAAATCTCTAATTATTCACAATGAAATTTCATGGCCTAACAACTCCTTTGCTTAGAAATCAAGAAGGTAATGAACCTGGGATGAAAAGAAGATACAACTCCAGGAATACTGTGCCAGAAGAAGAGCTGGCCAAACACATTGGCTAGGACAGTGTCCTTAAGAGTTAAGAGTACTTCTGGAGTTAGCCCTTTCATCACTGCCTTGTGAGGCCGTGAGTAGAAGCTTCTGATGTAAAGGAGGGACACTGATATTCAACTACTGCACTAGTCCAAGGTAGAGGCACGGGCTCTAATCGTAGTTTTATCCACGATCTTCCTGACAGAAGAACCATGCACTGGCCACAGTGTGGTGTGGAAAATAGTCGTCTCACTCAACAAGCTCTTCAGTTCCTACTTAGTCAAGGCCCAGAACATGGGAGACAAGGGGATTTTCCTTGAAATATCCTATAATCTTTTTTGCTTCTGAATTCTAAGCCTAGCCCCTAACTCCCGTGGATCCTGAGTCTAAGGTAGAAACCTGTGCCCTAAGGAAGGTGTACTGGATCAGCATCGTGAAGAAGTGGAGGGGGACCTGATGTGTCAAGGCCCCAGAAGAGCACAGCCAGAGTTTCAGTAAGACAGAACCACCTTCCAGAACACAATGAGGGCAATCCCTCACATGTTTAAACACAGCTGCTTTAACATCGGTAGAAGATGATGGGCTGGAAAAGCTTTTGCAGCAGAAGCTGAGGCTGTAATTCCAGACTCTGATGCCAACTCCGCCAATGGCAGAATCTAATCCAATCCAAGTGTTCCACAGCCACAGGAAGTTATCAGGCCTTTCCTTCCAGTTGACTTCATGAGGCAGAGCTGCAAACAGCATACTCTTTAGCAGCCCCATAGGAGTTCCCATCGGGGTAGGCATATTTTTTAAGCAAGCCAGAAACTAGTAGCTACGACTGAGGCCACAAATTGTTAGCTGTGGGCTTCCTTGGCAGTGGGGCAACAAACCCTGCTTTAGCTACGGGGGAAATGTGAGCTTCCAGTTTCCCCTCCAGCGAAAGGAAAAAGAAGGTAGGGCGTTCTATTTCTAGTTCTGGCTGACAGAACTCCATTCCTGTATGATGGAGCCTATTACTAGCTGGTGGATGTCAGAGGATTGGAAAATTAGAAGATAACTGAATATTTTTGTTGTAGAATATTTTAGACATTTATAGAGTTATAGCAGTATAACAAATCCTATGTACCCACCCCTAACGTCAGCAATTACCAACTTACAGCTAAGAAGGTGGAAATTAAGAAAAAAAAATCTTTATTGATTTCAGAGGGAGGAAGGGGGGGTGAGAGAAACATCAATGGTGAGAGAGTCATTGATCGGCTGCCTCCTGCATGCCCCCAACTGGGGATCGAGCCTGCAACTTGGGCATGCGCCCTGACCAAGAATCTAACTGTGAATCTAACCATGGTCTCCTGAATCCTAGGTCAATGCTCAACTGCTAAGCCATGCCCGGCCAGGCAAGACTGAAATTTTTTTTTCCTTTGAAATAATGAGGGTGATCTCACTAGTTTTCATAAAGTAATTTTATAACTAGTTTCGTTTGCCCCTTTAGGGGTTGTAAGCAGTTCTGATGCTCTGTGGCAGGGGTGGGGAACCTTTTTTCTGCCAAAGGACATCTGGATATTTTTAACATTCGCAGGCCATACAAAATTATCAACCTGGAAAATGGCTATGAGAAAAGCTCCTAGATTTATGGAATTTTGAGTCCCGCTTGTGGTTGCCATGGGAGGGCCAGACCAAGTGTTTTTGCGGTCCCTATACGGCCCATGGGCCAGACGTTCCCCACCCCATGCTCTGGTTATTTTAACCACACCTGGGCTGGCTGGTAGTAAGTAATTCATTTCTCATTCTCAGTCTAGTGTAGGCTCAGGGCAGCTCTCCTACAACACAGGAAGTGACTAGAAATGATCACTTCCCTCCTGTACAGCTCTTAATTGTGCAGTTCCCTGAAGGAACAGGTTTTCCAGCCACCTCTGGTAGAATGTGTATGTATTTACTTTTTAAAAGGATCTGTAACTGTCTTGGGGCAGAGGGCAGGCTGAAAGGGACATGTCACTGAAACTGCTCCGTGAAGATTTTTCTAAGGTGGCTGATGTGTGCCAGGTACACCATATACACCATATATACTTCCCGTATTAGAGAAGTACGGGAGCGGTGAGATAGGGAGGTGAAAGGGAAGTGATCACAAAAGGCAACAGGAGCAGCAGCTGGGCTGGCAGCCACCTCAGCTGCAGGTACACAGGCTGCATCCTTGAGACTGCTGCAGCTCTAGGCTTTCCCCTTCAAGGGCAAGCTTAAGATAACTGAGGGAAAGGGACAGGCCCTCAAATCACTGATTTTCTGTTAGCATCTCAAATTTGCACTAGGTCTTGGAGGATTATTGGACTCTTCCCTTTAAAGATCTTTCTCAAGAAGATATAAGCAACCAATTAACTTGCACGGCTGTTTCAATTTTCCAGCCTTCCCCTCGACATTACAAGTTTTTCTAAACCAGTTTGTAAAAGATAAGATTTGTAGGTCGGCTAAGCTCTGGGGATCAGACAACCCCTGCACATACATCTTCAGTCAGGTTTACATTTAATACCTGCCTGCTCCCCATCCCAGGAGTCTTCAAATAGTAAAGTGCATCCAAAAAGTCCCTGTGCTTGCTCTTCTGAATCAGTCTGGATTCTAGCTTGAGCGCTGTGTGAACTGTATCTCAGCAATGGTCTAGAAGTCAGGTCAGAGACCCAAGGACCACCAGAAATAATCGCCAGGCCTAGCAACAGGTCCTGGGGTGGTACCCTACCTTCAGCTACACAGAATATTTTCAGAAATACGCTTGCCATTTATGAATTAAACATTTGTGCCTCTGACACTTGTACAACTCTGAAGGTCTTGTCATTTTACTGACGTGCAGGTGTGGGCCCAGGACTGCGATGTTCAGGTCATTAGCTGGTGGGTTTGGCCACTCCCCAGCCTCCACATCACCTGGTGTAATATTCTTTATTCCTATAAGCACAATAACTTGTAAAGCCATAGGATATTTGGGGGAGGGGAGATGGAGCAAGAGGATGGAAGAAACCCAGCTGCAGTGCTTGTGATGGAAGGAAACTTGCAGAAAGTCAGCTCTTAGAAAAAGAGGTTGGATTTCAGGAATAGAATTTAACCATAGCTCTGGGCCATGGTGTGAAGACAATGGACTAACCCTACAGTGCATCTATCTACACAGAAACCACCAGCTGGATGTGAATGTGTTATAGGAATACTCCCAGCTTCCCGGGTAAGCCTTGTGCAGAGGCTTTTCCAGTGGATGGAAAAGCTGCTCATGGGAATATTGGAAAGGTGGTTAAGAGACTGCTGACATACAAAGGACACAAGATTCAGTGGAAATGTGACCTGGGAGAAAGTGGGGAAGCTGAAACCAGACAAGCTGGGGATTTTTGAAAGTCTCAAGACAAATCCTTGCAAATATCCAAGGTGCAAAAATGAAAATTTTAAAAACAGAATACATGCTTACAAGCCAGGTGTAATGCTCAGTATCTGAGGACATTCTACATGGCTACACAGGAGGGGCTCCCTTGGCTTTAAGGGGCTCTTGTCTTTTTAAGCTGCCATTACTGAATTCACTATTCAGAAATCCTAGCTGAGCCCTCCAAAGTGGCCAGACTGCACACCTATCCATACAAAAACACCAGTGCAGAAAGTTAACCGGAACCACAGAAACCTAAGCTGACATTTGAATCACTTGCTGGATCTTAAATTTTTGAGGAAGATTGACTAGTCACTACTTATCTTGAGATAACAGATAATGGTTAGTAGCAAAGGGGGCATTTTAAAACAGATACTAAACCAAGAGCATAGAATCTGAACACCTGGATAGAGATGGTTGTTCACACTGAGACTACTTGAGGAATGTCTTTTCATACTAATTTACTAAGTTTCTAGTAGAACAGGTGCTGGTGCTATTTTGAAATACAAACATTGCCCTTACCTTCTGGGAGCTCTGGTCTACTCATGGAGGCAGGTAGGGAATAGATCATAGTATTAAGAAACAAGTAACATTTCTTTGAGTCTTCAAAAATATTCTAAATGGAGATCCAAAATTACTTTCATCCACTGCGATATTGTTGAAATAAGAATACATACAATGTCACAGTGCAATTAACTGGCCCACTCACCAGAGGCATTTAATGTGGGCCCCGTTTGGCATCCTGTAAGATTTCAGGAGGGAGGAGGGGAGAGGCCTAAGAAGCAACTCCTGTCCCCCCAGGATGGTAGCATCTTGAGGGCTGTTTCTAGGCAAACAAGTCTATTTCCTGTTCCTTGGTGTTCAGCTAGTCCTTCAGGAATCTCTCTCAACCACTGAGCTCAAGTCAAATCTGATGAAGCGGTTCTCAAAATATAATCTGTTTCTGAATATTTTCATAGTAATATTAAGGATTATTTGCCTTTTTCACTGTCATTCTGTCACAAGTATGCAGAATTTCCCAGACTATGTGATGTGATATTGTAACAANGTCCTTCAGGAATCTCTCTCAACCACTGAGCTCAAGTCAAATCTGATGAAGCGGTTCTCAAAATATAATCTGTTTCTGAATATTTTCATAGTAATATTAAGGATTATTTGCCTTTTTCACTGTCATTCTGTCACAAGTATGCAGAATTTCCCAGACTCTGTGATGTGATATTGTAACAAACAGTACAGATGCCAGTGAGACTCTTCTATCAAGCCTCACATGAAAGAAATTGGCAAATATGTAGAATGAGGTAACTCTTATTAAAATGTACTTTTGTTTTAGAAGATTTTTCTAAAAATTTTATATTAACATGAAATGTGTTTAATTTAAAGAATTAAATATTTAAGAAATTTCTCAGTTTTAATTTCTAATGTGGTAAATATAAACAGATTGAATCCACATAAGCCAAAAAGCTCTTTAAATGTTTTTGAGTGGGACGGGGTCCTGAGATCAACAGGTCTGATGAGAACCCCTCCAGCCCAACAGGCCACACGGGAAGCACGGCTGACGCTACACCACACCGCTCACATTTCTGAACACACGCGGGATCTCACACACCTTTCTGGGAAAATTAGATGCCAGATTTACCATAAAGAGAGCAAACCAAAATTAGCTGTATTTCCCCCCCTCCCCTAGTAAATTCTATGAAGAATTTCACCTCAATCTGGGAGATAAGCAAACCAGAGTCTACAGCGCACCATTCCACCATCTATAGAGCAAGTCTAAGGGGCTCTGAGGAACAGATCCAAGAACCACCGCGATCCTCACCCTGCGGAGTAGGACCACTGCATGTCACAGAATTACACATGTACTTCATTTTTGAGATGAAATGCACATCTTGCCTTTGACACTCAAACCAGAACAACTGAAAGCTTTTCACCAGCATCGGCTAATGAGTACCAAAAAACACACATGAGAAAACAAAAGAAAACACACCTACCTTTGAAACCTCTGGGTTCGTGTAGTCTAAAAGAACACGGTTTTGTTCTGGGATTCACACACCACCACTTCCGAATCAAGCAATTTTAGTTGGAATTAAGATGAGGGCTTGGTCAAAACAAAAATGATTTTATAAGTATCTGCACAAACCTGGGGAGGCCGTTTCTGAATTCTAGTACCTGGCAGAATGGTCCACTCTTCAAGATGGTAACTAAGACTCTGGGCATATTTGTGAAATCCAGTAACAGTAACATTGCTTGAAACCAACACTGCTCCCAGAGCCAGAAAAGGCTTCTGCTTCAGCTGTTGTTACAGGGATAAAATTCACAACCCAGCTCAGACCATCACAGAAAGCGTTTATTACCACAGAGGAAATCAGAAGCCCATGCCCGGCAGCCTGGGCAGTGTGTGATCGGGAGAGGGGACAGCAGGCGGGACCCCCATCAGTCATGTTTGGGCAGTCTCCAACCGGCAGGTTTGCTCGGTCCAGGAGAGCTGGTGTCTGGGCTTTATGTTTGTATGTCTCAGGGAGGTCAGCCTTAACAGGCTTCCTCCTGGACAAAACAAAGGACAGAACCAGGGACAACAGCTGCACAGACACCACCTTAAAATGGAAATCAAATCAGGCTCATTACATCAGGAAGTGCATTTCACCCGGATCATGAAACACTAGGTAAGGGAGCATCGGGCTCTAGTGGATTAGCCTGTCTTTGAGATAAGATGCTTTTAGAACTTAAACACTGGCAGGGCCTTTCCCCTTGCTAACAGCAAGCAGCACACAATTTACTAGCCAGCTTTAAAAGCTACCGTTATCTTTGTTATCTGTTGTTATTTGGATTTTGAACAAAATTGATGGAGTAGGAGCCAGTAGAGGAATCCTGTTTGATCTGGAAATTTTCTGTGGAGAGTCCGAAAGGTCGGAGAACCAAGTTCCCAAGATCTTTTAATTTACCTGCAATGTAAAAGCAAAAACTCAAATAAATAGAGGAATAAACAGAAGCAAGAAGATCCCCAGCTGAGCACGCCTTACTATCAGATTAGAAAATATGAAGAGTATCTCTTGGTAGTTACAGAAACTCCTGCTTTTAAGACGATGAAACCTCAGTCCCCACCTCCCCTCAGGAGTGCAGCCACTTTGGTGCCACCCACCCAGGAGCCTGTGCTGGCTCCTGGGAGAGCAAAGCTTCTGTCCAAACTGGCCAGGCCCACCAAAGGACACAGGCTCGGGGATGAGTGGTGGCCGAATCCCATGCTGCTCCCAGGGAATGAAGGCACCTTGCCAAGCCCTGAGGAAAGAGGTCCCTCCAAGTCTGTTCTCCCTGGGTGAGCAACAGCCACTTGCTGAATCTAACTTCACTTAGCAGTTTCTACTGAACCTGGATTCAAACTCAAGAGCCTGCTTTTCTACATACAGCCTCAACTTCCACACAGAACTCATCACTTTGTGGAAAACGGGAGATCACGTTCATTTGCACAGGCCCATCAACCACAACAGTCCAGTCTCGTCTCCCCAAGTTTCAGGCTTTAGGAACCACTGTTGAATTCCTGTCCTAAAGACATTAACTGAGACATGTGCTGTAACCAAGGGTTTTTATGCTGATTCTACATACAAGAAAGTTATATAGAGAATTTGTCAAAAGTTGGAGTTTCTAGGACATTTGAGAGATTTGTAGGGGTTTATGGGGCAAAGGGATGGAGTATCAGACCAGAAGTGTGTGGGAAAATGCTGGCGAGGATGAGTCAAGTTTCAACCCTTTCTAAACTGTTCTAATTTTTCTTGTAGGTCTTCTGCTTCCAATGGAGATGAGAATGGGGGTAAAAGGGAAAGAAACCCCCAACCACCAGAGGTACAGGGTCCTCCTACCTTACCCGTTAGCAGCTTTGTCCCTCTGAGGTCTCCCACCTTGAAGTAAAGCCCAGGTAAAAAATTTAAAGATGCGTGGCCTTCAAATGTCTAGGCCTGTTAATAACTCATGGAAAGAACTTATGGTCTCAGTCTAAGATTCATCCTGCTGAAGCTCACCATATTCTGAAAAAGCTCCAGGAATGCAGGGCGACCACTCTCCAGGCAGGCTTCCCAAACTTAAACCTACAACACACATTCTCAGTGCTGCTGTTTAAGGAACGTCACTGGTGCAAACGACATCCCACATACAGGGGACAGCAGAGCATGGCCTTGGGTAGGCTGATGCAGAGGTAGGAGCCACAACAAGCAGAGAAAGGACAGGGCATCCTCAGGAAAGTGTCACCCAGAACTCTGGCAGTCTGTCTTGGGGTTGAGGGGAGGACAGGGAGGAAATGAACATTTAAAGAAGCCAAATAAAATGTCACTGCTGGCATAATCCATGGCTCTCCTGACACGGAGTTTGCATCTCGAGAGTCCCAGGAGGGCAGCTCCACTTGGAGGAGCCTCTGAGGGCCACCACCTGGGTGGAGGGTTCACTGCAGGCAGGCAAGAGTGAGCAGTGTGTCCAGGGGATGGAAAGGTAGATGGGAGGGTGCATGGCACCAGGTTTAGGTTCTCACAAGCCCAGCCCAGCGTCTATGGTCCTTATGCCACAGGGAAGGCCATTGATGGTTTGAGAACTGAGCTTGTTAATGCCGCAACAAAGTGAAGAATGAACCAGAATAGGAGAGCCTGCAGGTGGGTCGGACAGAAAGGCAGTGTAACACTGGAAAGAGGCCATTTAGTCACTGACCAAACATCTGAACGTCTACGGTGTTGGGTAAAGCAGCTTGGAAATCAGGGTGGGGTCTGGGGAACATAAGGGAACAGCACAAAACTTTCTGGAGGACCAAGTTTTTAGTGTCTGAAAAGTTCACATTTTGCTGTTTACGATGATGGCAGAGGAGCACCTTCAGTAAAGATCATGCTTCTAAACACAGCTGCACAATCACACTCATGAATCTTCCTGCTGCTGTTTCAAGTCAGGTTGGACACTCAGACTAAAGCAGCTTCCTTGTGCCTAAGACAGGATCATTTGCCAAACTGGCCTACCTGCCACACGTTCCTTGCCAAACGCCTATCTGCCACACGTTCCACTGGCAGCCAAATTCTACCCCCACCTCACCATCCGAGCCGTAACCAATTAGGTTTCCATATTACCACCTGTAGGAAATCTGGCACCGTCACTCAGCCTGAAAGTGTCCAAGTCTCATGTATTACATGAGATCCCACGGCAGTGAAGAGTCCAAAACTTGGGCTCAAGACAGGCATGTTTACAACCAGAGATCAATGCTTGTCACTGGATCCAGTTCTGATGAACATTAATTTTGGTGCCTCCAAGCAACACCAGATTATGATAACTCAATCATCTCACTTTGCATAATTTCTCTCTGACCATGCAGTGATCAGTTTACCCCGAGGAGAGCCAGGAATGCCCTTTGTTTTCACCTCTTAAGATCACTAGGGTTTGATACCGACATTAACAAAATAAAAGATAATCATATGATCGTATCAACAAATGCAGAAAAGCATTTGACAAGATACAACACCCATTTACAATTAAAACAATAAAATGGGTACAGAATGAAAAGTACCTCAACATAATAAAGGCCATACACAACAACCCTCAGCTAAAGTCACAATCAATGTTGAAAGGACTGCCAAAGGAGAGGGATTCTCCGGAGAGAAGCCGAAGGAGCACAGCAATTAGATCAAACAAAAAGCAGGGCACTGGAAACGGAAACTGCTGTTTCCCACTGACGGACGGCAGCAGGATGGGCTGAGGTGCCCGTGCGGCCGGAGCACCAGCCCCGCACGGACACAGTCTATACTGTTGGGCAGGGTGGCATGAAGAGAAATGTGAAAACAAGACTCTGGATCTCCTACCCACACATTCGGCTTCAGCAGTTTTAGGAGACTAACAATTCTGTCTTTCTTGTGATGCCTGCTTGGTAAGGAAGCTGATTCTAGGAACCTCTACTGCATGCAGACCAGGGGAGCATATAACACACAGGAAAACCCCAGGGGAACATGCTGAATCCTCGCAACGACAAGTGACTTCTAATTCCACATCTACCTCTTGAATGTGGCATTACACAAGGTGATCTTCTCAATTCAGTTTATAAGGGTGCGCACCGTAGGATGCTAGGGGCCAGGAGTGAACATCCGAGTGACTTCAGAAATCAGGAGACCAGGAATATGAAGTGGAAGGTGGTCATGGTACATGATGACCAACAGGCCCACGGCTGTGCCCGAGCGGCCGGGCAGGGGAGCAGCAGAGGCCAGTGAAAGGAAGGATTACTAGGGCAGTGTCCCAGCCTGTGTCTCTGGTTCCTTTGGGGGAACAAATGAGTTTCATGTCATGGCTCTAGGCTCTCGGCCAGGACGGGCACCTGGCAGCTCTTGGTTAGGGTGGGAAGAACAGCAGCTCACGGAATGGCTGGAACACAATCTGTCCATCTATTAGGTCATACCTCACCCCAGGACCTGGGTGGTGTCCCTACCCACTCAGTAAATTGTGACGACTTACAGTAGGCTCACTGGATTTCTCCAGTGGCATCCTGTCCAAATAAACACAAGAACTGAAACCTAGCAAGGAGCAGCTGGCCAGAGCTGAGTCCAAGTCTAGTGAGTCAGAGAGCACACATTCAGAAATGTCTCCTATTTTTTCTCTGCGGCAGCTACAGCACAAGGAGGGAAACATAACACTCAGTGACAGGCCTGCTTCTGCCCAGCGGGGAGCTCTCCGCGCAGCTGCTGACTGCCACCCTCCCCGCCTCGCTGCGGTGGCCATGCCCTACTCAGCCTTTGATTCCTGTCCCTAGTGGCCTCTACACTGTCCTTCAGTCATCAATCACACCTCCCAACAGCAGATCAACTCGAGTGTGCACCATAAATACCCACAGGGGTTAAAACGCAGGGTGCTGGGCTGGAAAATAGGCATTTTGGACAAGTTGTCAAGTGAGGCTGGTCGGCACTGTATTTTGAGAACCAGCTTCAAAAGATAACTTGCTTTTGCAGCTGGCCAGTGGAATGTTGATCAGAAGCCTGGTATTAAAAACTAATTGAAGACACCCATTTCTGGTGATTAGAGGGATACGGCTGCCTGGGAGGAGTGTCCTTCTTAGATGTGAAAGGTAGCCCATTACTTTCTGGAGAAAGCAGACGGCTTTCTTCAACACACTAAGATGACAGGAAATCAAGGAAGAACCACAAACATACATAGATTCTTAGTAATTCCACTTGTTTGAGATTTCATGGCTGGGCCCAGATATAGGATAAAACAATTTGCAAATGATGGCAAAAGTCTTTATCCTGCAGATTTTTTTTAAATGCCTAGAACTTAAAAAAGGTTTTATTGATTTTAGAGAGAGGAAGGGAGAGGGAGAGAAACATCGATCTGCCTCCTGCATGCCTCCTACTGGGCACTGATCAAGCCCACAACCCTGGGCATTTGCCTCAACTGGGAATATAACAGGTGACCTCTTGGTGCATGTGACGATGGTCTACCAACTAAGCCACATTGGCTGGGCCCACAGTCTTTCCTATTTGTAATCAAGACTTGTTCAGAGACCTACGTTAGTATCGTCTGGCGTCCCAGCAGAGCTGCCCAGATGAACGGCTCACCTCACCCCCGCTGGTGGACGGACCCTCACCCCGGGAAGGCACTCTTCTCCCTGACCAATCTCAACAGCCACACTTCCGAGATGCTCCCAAGGGCAGGGTGATACACTAAGCATTTGTCCTTGGAATCCTACAGTTGAGCAGGAGCTTTGGAGATTCTGAAAATGTCTCACTGGTTTTCCTTTGAAAAATTTTTTTACTATTTACCTATCTATGTGAGCAAAAATTAATATTGTGAAATAGAAACAAGGAAATAAATTAGATACATAGATACTCATAAGGCTGTGCCTGCCATCGAAATCCTTGATTTCAAATATTTGTTACACTTGCCTGATTGAATATTCTGATTATAAATGACATACATTTCAATTTATACAAATAAAATACTTCTAGTTTTCTAACTGTGGTTTCAGATACAATTCTTTTAAAAAACAAAGAGGATCTATTATTTTTACACCAGTTGCCAAAACAAGCTGAGTATTTGGGGAGCTCTGTTCAGGATACCTGTTCCCACTCATCACGCCATCGTCCACACCCCTTAGGTCCAATCAGACCTCCCGTTCCTTAGCTTTCATGGCCAGGAGGCTAATACTCCCAGATGAAAGGACAAAAGCAAACACTCCAGTTGCAGGCTGCTTTCCTCAAACCTGAAGCCAATGATCGTCCTGTGCTCAGCAAGGGCTGTGGCACTGGAACTGATGGCCACCCTGGTCTCCACTCCTGTTCTGATGATATTTATACATGATAGGCTAGGAAGGGAGGGCAATTATGTTCTACCCATTCCAAATTTCAATCAGGACTGTCTTCCCAAGGAGGGGAGTATATAGGTCTTCTTTCTATCCAAAGGAAGTCAAGTTACAGAAAAAAAAGAAAACCTGAATAAAAGCTCATTTTGTTAAATAATCACAGAACTTCGTAAATACCAATGACAACACTGAGCGGTTTTAAAAATCTTTAATTGCCAGTCCTCCAGCAGAAGCTACCAATCCCACAGAAACTAGCACTAAAAATCGTGCCAAGTCCACTGCAAAAAGCTTGCTCTACTTCTAAGGAAGTGACATATTTTGTGCTCAAAGAGACTACTCTCCAAGGATCTCCCGGCACATGAACCACAGCCATGTCATCCGTAATGAGGGGAATAATACCAGAAGCTCTTGGGCTGAGAGTCCACGCACAGGGCAATCTCTCCCCTCCAGGCTCTCCTATGGCAGGTAACACCCAGAAGCAATACTTTATTCATGATCCTTATATCCATTAAGAAAACAGACTCTGGCTATTCAAATGTACCAACCAATCAACATCTTACTTACCAAGCAACTTAAATTGTTTAAGTCCGATGAAAGCTTCCATTATGGAAGCAACCGAAGGAATGAGTTCAATTTGCATATTTCACATGAATGGAACAATATAAGTAAAACCCAAAGCCATGGAGACAGGAAACTCCAGCTTAGAATTTACAGTGACAGGGACACATGGAAGTTTTGATTCCAGCTGCAGCTGATGACACAGTAAGGTTCAATTTGCACCCATCCCTTTATGGCTTCATACTGGCTCAAAAACAGAGACAATGCCCAAAGACCAATGCCTAAGTGTCATTCCATGTCTGCTACGGTCATCCCTAAAGTCATCTCTCTCAGCATGAACTCCAGCTCAGCTAAACGCAAATACGTTCCCCCCCCCACTAAGATAAAGCATTATTGTTAGGAGAGAAGATGCTCTTTTTTGATGAAAGAGAACCTCCAAAATAATTTTTTCTGCTCAAACATGGTGTAAAGTGCAATTAAATGTGTAAATTATGGAGAATCTTTTTGGGGAAAACTGGGGAAGGCTCTAGAAATTGCCAGAGTCTAAAGCAGCTCTCCTTGGAGTCTGAGTCCAGCCAGCAGGGTCAGAGGGCTGTGCATCGTCTAGGCTAATGGTTTCTTCTCAATCAACTCTGCTACTAGAGTGAACCATGGCGAAATGTGTTCTCCTTCTCTGGATCCTGATGCCTATAGGTCATAAATGGCCAGGCTCAATTTACTGTAAATGACTTTTCCTTTAGGCCCATGTGATTGCAATATATTAAATGTAGTTCACATGACATGTAGAAACTATTCATAATGAAGATCCTATACTCGATCTTGAGTGGGGAAGGATCAGGTACGTTATAAGCAGAATACGCTGGGCAGGTCTCTGGCCAGGAGCCGTCCCTCTCCTTAGTCAAGCAGACTGTTTATGAGAGCAATTCTCTCATTCCAACTATAAAATGGTCTGGCTAACAAAAGAAGCAACGAAAACACGGATCAGAAGAACCCATTTACCCTACCCTCCACCCACAGCCTTTCCTCCCTCGGTATTTATTCCTAATTAATTCCTGCCCTCTCCCATTTTCTCAAAGAGACACAATGCATTTTAGAAAAAGGAATTCCCTTGGTTCTGCCCCTGTACTAGCTGGCAGTGACTGCACCCTCATGAAGTAAAGCCTTAAGCTGTTTACCCAGTGAAGAAACTCAACTGTTTTCGCGACACTAGGGATCTGAAATACAGTTTGGTGGTATCCCAGGTTGGGAACTGAACTGTGTTTGCATTCTTGAAGGCAGGGAAATTTTCCAAGAAAAATAAATGGTAGTTTGGTTTTTAAAAAGCTGACATCCTCTGTAAACCACAGTGCTCCTTCTGGAGTCAAAAAAGCTAAAGAGCTCACTAGCCCCACGGAACTGCTGCCCACAACAAACGAAGGGCCCAGAAGCCATCTCTAACTGCTGTGTTTCCCTGAGTGAGTAAAAATACTGTTGTCCCCACCCCCACTATTTATGGTCAAGGAAAGTAAGGGAAGCAAACTTACCCAACATTTCTTCCTTCAGTCTTTCATTTCGTTCTTCGATTTGCTTGGGTAATCTCTGAGGGGAGAGGAGGAGAAATGGGTTAGTAAGAAATCCCTGAGTTAGTTTGAATTTGAGAAACAGTAAAACTAATGTGAAAGTGAGATAAGGTTAAGTACAGATGTGTGACTTTAAAGAAGGAAACGAGTCTTTGTGGTTGAGCTACATGAATAGTTTTGCTTGGTTCACTGCTCTGTGCCCAGTTCTTGGCAACAGTGGCCCAAGGAAGACCCCAATAAAAATTTGAATAAATATATACACAAAAAACTGTTTGAAAGGATACCTACCAGAAGTTTAAAGTGCTGTGTGTACTTAGGCGGTGGGATTATGGGTGATCCTTATATTTTTAAATTTTTTGCTCATTCATATTTTTTACCTTGAAGTCCTTTCTTTATAGAATCTAATTTATTGAGAAAGGGTAAGATCGATATTGGATGTTCCTAAAGGATCACCTAGCTCAGTGTTTTTCAACCCTGACACTACTGGCATTTTAGACTAGGCAATTCTTTGTTGTGGGGGCTGACTTGTGCACTGTAGGATGCTGAGAGCATCCTGGCCTCTACCCACCTAGATGTCAATAGTCCCCTCCCAGTCATCACAGTGTCTCCAGATGCCGTCAAATGTCCCTGAGAACCAGTAGAGAATCACTGATCTAGATCAGGGTTTCCTATGGCCGCCTTGAGGTCTGTAATTGGTCCCAATTACTCTGGGATTCCAGTAATAACTCAGTTATAATAATTCAAAAGAAAATAAATTCTTTATGCATATAATAATTAGTATAAAAGGCTTCCTTTCACAGAAGGCTTAAAACCGATATGACCAGGATAAAGGCTACCAAGAATCTGGCCAGGGTTTTCTGTTTTTTTGTTTGTTTGTTTTTAAATATATCTTTATTGATTTCAGAGAGAGGAAGGGAGAGGGAGACAGAAACATCAATGATGAGAGAGTCATTGTTCGGTTGCCTCATGCACACCCGACTGGGGATGGAGCCCGCAACCTGGGCATGTGCCCTGACTGGGAACTGAACCTCGATCTCCTGGATCCTAGGTTGATGCTCAACCGCTGAGCCACGCCCAGCCGGGCTTGGCCAAGGTTTTAAGTATTTCCTTTCTTCATGTTGAATTTAGTTAATCTTACCACCATTCAGAGGTATGTTAAAATTCAAATAAACGATTAAAACCGGTTTCAAATTGCTTATGCATTTTAATTATCCAAACCAGGCTGTCAACAGTTCTCAGGTTTGCTGGGTGAAATACTCATTCCAAGAGGTAAGTAGGAAATCCTGCAGAGCAGTGCGGAGCGGAAACATAAGCAAGTGAAAGAATCGGTGGAAGGCAGGAGGGAGTGTATGGCTGGCCGTGAACTGGGACTGCAGCAGATGCAGTTCAAGAAGAATCCCCAATATACCCACATCCTCCCATTCACTTTTAAGAGGTCTGATTTTTATCTAGTCAAATCTTCCCATTTTTAAATGCTGGTAAGTGGCCTCAATTAAAAAACAAACAAAAAGCTGGCTTAAACAACACGTCTGCAGTTCTTCACCTCCCGTCTGCTGCACACTGGGGCTCAGGACAGACCTCTCCACCCGAATGGCTCTGAAGAGTCTGGCAGTGAAGAAAGCTGTTTAGCTAAAGCCAGGGTTTCTCTAGCTGATTGGAACATCCATTATTTGGGGGAAATAACATATGCACATCCAGTTCAGTAGAACGTCTTTAGAACATACATTGCTCTGTGCACTACGGACAATCAAAGGGGGAATGCAGTAACATTTAGCTAATGTACAACTGACATATAAATATTTAGAGGCAAAAGGACTACAGTGTTGGAGACAAGACTCACTTTGGTCTGACCTGTACAAGTACCATGGGCTAGATTTTCCTAGTCCAATGATGAAATAAAATTGTCAACCCTAGAGATGAAAGGTTTACAGACAACATAGAGTGTAATGATACATGGAGCGTAAATGATACATGGTCACAGTGGGTTGGTGGCCACCACTTCCAAGTTCTATATATTGTGATAACCTCCTCAGAAGTACAGAAATGGAATGCAGTTGTGTCCCGAGGATGATTTAAGATTCACTGAGTAGCAACATAAGGAAAAGAAGACTGAGGTTTACCATACAAGCTTCTCTTGCTTGGTGCACTGATGGGTCTTTTTCTAGAATGGATTTATAGTCTTCCAGGGCTTCGTCAAGCTTGTCAGTGCTCTCGTACAACTCTGCTCTCCTCAGCAGGGCCCTGACGTAGCTGGGGTTTAGCTGGATGGCTGTAAAAGAAGAAGAGATCACTGTCACCATGAAGGAAAGGGGCCTGTACATCCTTGGCTGCATCAAGTTTCTTTATTAACCATCCTCCAGGGTCTAAAGGAAGAGTCATTTGTCAAAGACTATACCTGGGGCGAGCAAGCTTTGTAAAGGCTTTAGGCTTTGCAGAGTAGACGGTCCCTGTCACAATTACTCAACCCTGCTATTGCAGCATGAAAGCAACCAGACAGTGGCTGAACAAACAAGGATGGCGTGTTCCCAAAAACCTTTACTTATGGACGCTGAGACTGGAGCTTCACATAATTTTCATGTGTCACGAAATACTATTTCTCTTTTGATTTTATGTCCAACCACTGAAAAACTGTAAAAACCACTCTTGGCTCATGGGCTATACAAAAGAAGGTGGGGGGCTGGCCTGGGCTGTGGCTGTCGTTCAACAAGCCCTGACACCACCCCAAGTCCTTGTCTTCACCTGCTGATCCTTCAGTTCAGAATAGGCTGGACACAGAATCCCAGTGTCTGGTAAGAGAGAGATTTAAAGAGCTGAGAGAAAACAGTCTAGTGGTAGACTCTGCTATCATTCTTATTTTTCTATGCCCCAACTACTGAGGTTATGCCTTGATTACTGAGGTTACATTTTTGGCTAAATGCTCACTGTTCCTTCAAACTTCTGCTCCAGCACTTTCAGGCATAATATTCTTTCCTTTATCCAATAACCACTGCCTTTCTAATAATCCTCTGCCCATGTTTTGGTGTGTGTATGGGGACTGGGGAGGCAACAGAGCCTGTCCTGGGTACCTTAGCTAGGCAATGCCCACCAAGAAGAGAGGTCAACTTTGCAGTGAGATACAGGGCTCCAGACCACAGGGAAGAGCTGAAGATATAAACTGTAGCATATAGATGGTATTTAAAGTTTCCTAACTGGATGAGAAAATACAGGGAGACAATACAGAGAAAAAAAGAAGGGGGCCTTATGTAGGACAAAGATCTAGGAGTTCCGAAATGTTGAGGTTGTCAGAGAAGCTAGCAAAACAGAAGAAACAGTGAAGGAAACAGAAAAAAAATTGCGGAATGATACACCGTACAAATGCCTTCTGGAGGCCAAGCAAGGTGAGCAAGAGAAGCAACTACTAACCCAGGCAAGATGAAGCGGCTGGTGACCTTTCCAATGGGTGTGGGCAAGGAGAGACTGGGAGAAGGCAAGCAGACAGCAAGTGCAGGCCATTCTCTCAATGAAGAGGACCAGAGAGACGGCACAGGAGTCGCGGGGGGAAACTGGTGCAGGAGGAGGTTTTCTGAGAACCCAAACTCTTAACATTCCAACTTTATATGCTGCTAACCTCCCCTCAGCCAGTACATCATAGTCTTTAAAGTATCCCCAATTACATCATAATATCCATAGAAAACACACTCCAGTGATGTCTACTACTACATCTTTTAAAAAACTGAACCCCTAATTAACATTTTAACCCAGATGCTGCCCCCTTCTCAACTAGCAAATAGCTTCCAATAATGCAAATATGTACTGAAGAGAAGGAACTTTTCCTACAATGACTTAAAATCAACAAATCACTCTAACGTGATTTTTCCCCAATCCACGTAAAGAAAATCAACTTAACCTTTACTTATGCCAAGGCTGAAAACCTTAAGGCAAGAGGCCCACATGACTAGTGGTAACGAGCTCCAATATGACCCCAGAAATAAACATTAAGTCCTTTGCCAAGATGGTTTATGACCAGAGTGGGAGTGTGTGTGTTGGGGGGCACTCCTTAATACAAATAAGCCACACTGGTGTCAATGTGTTCTGCGTATGGGAACAATGCATGTAGCCCATAAAGACTACGTAAGTACCTGGATATGGGTTTAACCAAATTCAAACACAAATCTGGAAAACACTTTCTTCCCCTTTGGGCTACAGCTGGAAATGAACTGTGGCCTAGTGTATGCCCTGCTAACCAAGCTTATAAGGCATTTTCTCATCATTTGGTTACACAGAAAGGAACTCTGAGAATCAGCAGCTTGTTCCTAATTTAAACTTTTCAAACCCACACATTGCATACAGATTAAGATTAAACGCCTTCTTCCAAATGAAACAGTACATTCAGAATTAGTTCTAGCCCAAGATAGTAATAGATGAGTAGTTAGCTAGATTCTAATGTAATAATAGTTTCATTCAGATACTATATAGAAATAGCAAATACAAAGCAAGCCCCAGTAGAGAGAGTGATAAATTAATGAAAAGAAAAAATAGCCTGGCCGGGCGTGGCTCAGTGGTTGAGCGTCAACCTAGGATCCAGGTGATCAGGGTTCGATTCCTGGTCGGGGCACATGACCGGGTTGTGGGCTCGATCAATGACTCTCTCATCACTGATGTTTCTATCTCTCTCTCCCCCTCTCCTTTCCTCTCTCTGAAACCAATAAAGATATATTAAAAAAAGAAAAAATTGAAGAGGGAACTCATGCTTAGTTAGTATGCGAGTTGGACGAGACAACATAAGGTTCTTTCTAACCTTACAGTTTCTGGAAGAAATTATTATCCAAAGAGAGGAAAACAAACAAAAAAATACAAATTACAAAGAGTAACAATTAGCTAGAAAAACTTATGAGTAGTAAGATGCAAGGAAAAGTGATAATGTGTGTTCTCCACACCAACCTACCAAGGTAGCTTTGAATGGTTAGAAAGGCAAGAAAAACTGTGTGGCCCATCAAGAAATTTCTGAAAACCAAACAATAGTGATCCTATGTCTGGGTGTCTCTATAAGTTGGTGGGATGAGAAGACCTTGACAGAATTCAGATAACAGACAGCAAAGTCTTGATTCAGTGTGTGGAACCTGGAAGGGGCATTAAAGTGATGGCAAGTAGGTTTGGAAGAATTATTACACCTGAAGAGAGTTCCGATTCCCAAACAGAAGCTGTCCTTCACCATGACTCATCCCCCTTAACTCCCAAATGCACAGATCCAGATGCCAAAAAGCAGCTGAGATCTTCAATTTCAATTTCAAAGTAAAGCAATTTGGACAATATAGGAAGTAAATTCTGTCCCACCAGATTATGCTGTCGAGGTAGCTTTGAATTTTTCTTTACATATTTTAAGACAGGATAAACTGACTGAACCACCCATTCAAGAGCATGCTTACACTAAGGTGACTACTACGTAACACCTCTAAGGCGGCTAAACCATAAAGCTTCTTCTTTAAAGACCTCAGAGAAAGGGGACATGTACAGGTGCCTGTCTCTGTTGATCTAGCTGAAGTGATGCTCTTGTATGTTAACATGTAACGAGACCAAAAAGCTGTACCTTTGCTGCAGTCACTGATGGCCATCTCTTTCTTGTCCTAAAAGGAAATATAACATTAATATGTGTCACCCTAGTTCTGTCTTAACAGCCCAAAGGCTCAATGACAAAGCTGATCATTAATAACTGCTTATGGAGATGCACAATGCTCTTTAAAGAAATCACACAAAAACATACAACTTACTTCCAAACTAAAGACAGCTCTGACTTGAAAGTGTTCTGCCAAGAAAATATTCAAGTAGCTTCTTCCTAAAGTATCTTTAAAGGTTGTTGTCACTTATCTATTCGATTTGCAAGATGCTTTATGTCAGAATGCTGACACTGAGAAAACTTTGTGATCAATAAACAGGGCAAATAACTAACATGAATAACTGAATTAACCCTCCTCTCTGGCTATCTGACCCAAAGTGATATCTTCCATAGAGTATACAGATGGTACTTCTATAGTAACACAGCGTGGCTCGTCATGTGGTCTCAGTTATAAACCTTAATTTATCCACTGATGAAACAAAAATACACAACCACCTCCCAAATAAGATATCTCACTGATTAAACATGCTGACTCTAGAAGCAGGGCACAGAGGAAAGAACACTGATGTCGAAAGAACTAGATTCTAGTTCCAACTGACACTACCTGCTGTTTAGCTCTTCCAACTCTAAAATGTCTCTTTTCCTCAAAGTAGTTTCCTACAATATTACAGAAATATTAGTTCAAATAAATGTTCAATACTGCCATAGTGGCTACTATAGTAAATACTATTTTTCAGAATATTTTAGAGCAATGCCTACCAAACTAAATTATAGGATTTAATCAAAAATAGTCCCAGGATGGCCCTAGCCGGTTTGGCTCAGTGGTTAGAGTGTCGGCCTGAGGACTGAAGGATCCTGGGTTCGATTCCGGTCAAGGGTTCATCCCTTGGACACAGGCTCCATCCCTGTCCTTGGTTGGGGTGTGTGTGCGGGAGACACCAGTCCGCGTGTCTCTCTCACATAGATGTTTCTCTCTTCCTCCCCCAGCCCTCTCCCCCTTCCACTCTCTCTGAAGAGCAATGAAAAAAATATCCTCGGTGAAGATGAAAAACCAAGACAGTTCCTGGATGGAGACTGAAGGCTGAATGGGTGCAGGGCGTCCTTTGGGGCCATGGAAACGTTTGGGAGCCAGATGGCGATGGTTGCACAACATTTATAAATGTATTTAATGGCACTACGTTGTATGCTTTAAAATGATTAAAACAGTCAATTTTATGTCAGGTATCTTTTATCCACAGTAAACACAGAAGGTTCCAGAGTGGTCTGGGAAACACTAACTATATTATATCTCTTCCAATGTTCATCAGAGCTATTCACATATTAAAACCCCTAAAGTCCTGTAGTGAAGAAATCTGTCACTTTGTGTAAGCCAGTATTTCCCCAATATATGAGCTTTCTATAAATCTAAGACTCACAATGTCATAGTTTAAGTTTCTGAAGCAGGAGTGACTCTACAACTTAAGTGCACATCTGTCTGATGGTCTTCTTTGTGTCCCTAAGAACCTATCGTTAAGCTGCAGCGCATCTTATGCACAATCGGTCTCTGCAGATCAAGGAATTGTGGCGTTTTACTGCAGGCTCAAAATCTACTAACACCTCCGGGGACCCAGGTGTTGTCTGCTGTGTGTGGAAAAAATCCCAACTTCTTTATCACTCTTTCAGAACTCATATCAGTCTGTATACATATATAAAACAATGTAAACAACATAGAAGGACGGCAGTTTTAGAGTGTGTGGGGGGAAATGAACCAAAGAACTTAAATGCATATATGCATGACCTATGGACACAGACAAGTGTGGGGAAGGCCTGGAGGACAGGGGTGGATGCCGGGTGCAAGGGATCAGTGGGGGGAGAAAAGGGGACATCTGTAAAACTTTCAACAATAAAGATAAATAACAATAAAATAAAGACAGTCCATTAATAAATGGCAAAAAAAAAATAAAATTAGAATCTACTTTTTCAGGGCTCTGCCTGCTTTTGGGGAGGCAGGCAAACAGCTGAAACTCTGTCCTCACACAACTGCTTCCTCTCTCTCCAAACAGCAAATGCAAAGCTTGGCAGGGGCACAGTCAGGGATGCTAAGCCTGCAAACCTGCCTTTCAGAAATTCTCCTTAGAGCAGTGAACCCATCACCTCTGGGAATAAACCCAGAATGTGGCCCTTAATTGTCACAAAACATTAATCCTGGACATTTTCAAGTTTCAAAGTTTTGAATCTTCTTAAAAATATAAAAGAGTGCAACTTAAAAGAACAAAACAAACAACCCAGCCCACTAGCAAACCTGCCCTTTATAAAGGAAATGGTCACAGAGCTATTTTGTTGTTGCACTCTCCTCAGATGTGACAAAGACCGCACGCTGCCCTAACTCAGAACCAGTCGTTTCCACCAGCCCAACCCTAGCAATATCAATAACCTGGCAACCTGGAAACAAAGAACCCTACTCCCAGGAGCCAGATGGGATGGTGCACTTCCTCTGACACCGAAGGTGCCCTTGGTTCCATTTAGCATGACAACTTCCGGTCTGAGAACACGGCAAGATGTCTCCAAGAAGCAAAAGCAAAAGATGAGAATTTTCCAAACTAAGTGTAAAAACTGTTAGGTGTGAATTCCAACTGATATAGAATATACGAATGAGTATTGCTTTAAATACACTGAACTGTTTTACTTTCCCAAATACAAGATATCTGTTTACATATTCTAGAATTATTTCTTCTCCAATGCCACATGAATCACCCCCAAAATACTTCACTTTGGAGACTGAATCCAATAATAAAACATACAAGTTCTGGTTTAAAAAAACACCTTCCTGCATGTCTAAGCCTTCAAACACCAACCATCCTCCCCTGCCCCTTTTTTAAAACCTGGTTATCCAAAGAGACTTCGGTAAAGCACTAGAGAATTTCAGGCAACACCAATGAGAAAGTGACACAGATACCTGATCTAAATAAAAGACCACTTCACCCAATCTAGGGCCTGCTTCGTGGCTGCTTAAATAACCTACCCTTTGCACTTTGGACAAAAGTAGCCATAGTTAAGTGTATTGCTTTTTCAAAACTCTCATCATTTCAATCCAGCAAAATCTACTATGTTAACTAAATAGGAAATCAGTGAAATCAGTCAGAAATCTAACTTTTAATGCCAATGTGGTACAAGACAAATATACTGTACTCTTCTCTATTCTATATTCCCCCTACTACCCCAGGTTCTCAGTCCTTTGGAAATGCAAAGTGCTTCTGAACTTTCCCTGACACCTATTTTGCATTTAAGGGCATCGCTCATCCCAACTGGTGGACATTTCTCCCCATGTCCATACTCTCAACAGAGAAATGAGAATCTCAGGAAGAAGTATCCTGAAATCCAGAGTTTTCATCAGTGTTTCCTCTTGGGTCTTTATCTAGAATTCCAGAGGCCTCAAATGAGTGCTGGAGCTATTCCAGGCCACACGCTGCTAAGGTCTGTGCTTCATTAACCTTCCCCAAGTTTGTTATAAAGAAGGCTGGCAAAGTTTCTACCAAAGTGTCCACCCACACACTTTAATGAGGAATGTTAGCAGTAATCTGACTCAAGTTTTTCAAAATATGCTTGTATCTTTCCTGTAACCTTTATATCAGGGAAATATATAAACAGGAAAAGGGAGGCACCAACGTTAGGGCCCTATGCTAGTTTCTGGAGAGAAGCTATCCTACAAAAACACTGCAAATTCACGTGCTTCTTAAAACGAAAAGGCCAATGTTACATACCTGTTTCATCCTTGCAGCAGCTCTATTTGAAAACAGAATAGACCTGTCTTTCTGGAAGCAGGATGGGCACATCTGAAGGGCTTGGCTATAAGAACTTTCAGCTTCTATGTAATCTGAGAAGATAAAAGGTGAGATTATGATTTTATTCCTGATATGACTGTACTCTTCTCTATTCCACAGGATCTCGGAGTATACAGCTCTCCAGTCATAGGACAGAGGTCTCCAACAGAACGTCTAAATGCCCAGCTCCCATTAAGCTTATCAATTTAATAAGGAGTTTTGAGAGGGGGTTTGGGAACTGGACAGACAAAAGAGACTGAAGTCTGGGATTAATGGCCTGTTGACCAAAGACCCTAAAAGAGAACATGGTGATAAATTTATATATTCATCGCCACACATAGAATGATGGACAGGGTACTAAAGGAAAATTGCCTAGTCATGTCTTTCTCAGGTTGGAAATAGTAAATACTAAAATACAAAGAGATACGTTTTCAAAATCAGAACCATTAGTTCCTTTTGAACAAAAGAGGTGATGACTGATTAAACCAGGATAAAAGAAAAAAAATTTTAACCTAAACATAACTAGGGAAATATGTTCCCACTCCTAGATTCTTAAAGCACCTACCCTTTAAGATGTGACAACGGCTATCATAAGATCAGTTTCCCAAAATTATCCGAATGAGCGGACTTATTCTGAAGCATAGAGAAAATCCAAAAGGATGTGAAGAGCACCTCTCTGCTTACATCAACCAAAAAAAGAGGCACATGAAAGAGCAGCCCAGGTACCGCAGAGCTCCTCGTGGGCCCTGCTGGAACCCGCGGGCTGGCTTTTATAGTGCTGTTGCAAAGTGAGGAATGGGGCCCTGGTTTTACAGCAGTGCAGCAAAGAGCCTTTTAACATTCCAGGTTAGAGATTTCCAAAGCCACAGCTGAAGAGTTTTCCTCCCAGTTTCTGGATTTATAGAGAGTGGATTACAGAAAAGAAGAACTATGCCTGTGCCAAGAGACACATGATAACTGGTCGCTGTCAGCTGAGAACGATTTGAACCTGGTAAAAAACAAAATTCCAAGTGCCGGGAGGCAGGCTGCATTGTGAGCAGTTTATTTGCTAGTTGTTTCCAAATGTTCTTTGGGGGTTTCTCCACAGACTCTACGAAAGAAAGAGTGAAGGTGAGAAGGCATCAGGGCTGAAGTGGTTCTCTTACCTCCTTTCTTAAACTGCTCATTTCCCTCCTCCTTCAGTCTAGTGCTCTCTTCTCTTCTTTTCTAAAAGAGACCAGAGAATGACAGACATAATTGTCACAATGTTATTTTAAGTGAACGAAATGGTCGGCTTTCTTTACAAAGCAGGTTAACAGGCAGCAACTTGACTTTTGAGAACTGGGTCAGTTCTATCTAAATCTCCAACAGATACAGAGAAAAACACATAACCATCTGGCTAATCGCCAACACATTACTGACTGTGTTTAAAATGCAAACCCTAGGTTTCCTATGTTTCTGTTTTTTGTACAGAATGGTAATTCAGATATCATTTAATTTCTATTTACTCAGACTGAAACTAAACAACATACTCACTGGTATACACACCACTGTAAATTCAAATTCTGTATGTGCTGCTTATTAATCGTATGATCTTGGAAAACTTCCAGATCTTTCTCAGTCTTATTTTCTTCATCTGAGAAATGAGGCTTTAACACTTTTATGGATCAATACAATAAAATACATAAAGCTCCCAATACAGTGCCTAGCAAATAAGGGCTCACTAAATATGAGCTATGATTCTTCTGTAAAATAAGTAATTTAAAACTTATTTAGCTACAAACTGTGGTTTGTGTCACAGAGACACAGGTATTACGGCACAGTGCATTGTGGGGGATGTGCCTCGCCTGCAGGGTCAGGGCAGCATGCTGCCAGCAGCTTAACACAAGGAAATTTGAAGAGATTCCAATAAATGAATCTCCCTTTTCTTAGCTTCTTCAAACAACTCAGAAATTCACACAGATGCCCGAGCACCCATCAAACTCAAAGGCCAAGTGAAGGTTACTCTGGAGAGCAACGATTGCACATGAACGTGCTTTCAGCCTGAACATCAGTGCACACAAGCAAAACCACAGAAGTCACCCCGCCTGCCACCTTTGGACACTGTGGGTTTTTTTAAATAAAAAAAAAACACAACCCAAAACAAACAAACAAACAAACAAAAAAAACCAAAAAGGGAGAAAATACAGTTAGTAGGGTATTTCACGCACAGGAGAAGCCTGGAGCCTAAACCACTGATACTCTTAACATTAGGAACCAAAGTAAAAATATGTCTCTGGAGATTTGTAAATATGCTGTTGGGTGCTTCCTAAACACCTAATTATTATACTCCCGATGAAACAGAGCACTTGATGAATCTCAATAAAGAAATGAAAAGCTGGGTAGGAAATAAACTAAATCTAATTTTTATAGTAGCTACTAAGTGCCAGATGCACAGCAGATACAATGACAATTCATTTTAAGATATAACATATCTGAAGGGCTATTCTAAGGGAGTAGAGAAAAAAATAAAATGGGAGGTGGTGGTGGGACTCAAATATAAGAATGTGTCCACATTTACCTACTACTACCCAGGAGGGAGGTGCTTGGATTATAATGTTCTCTACTGTATTGCGTAGCATTTTTGGATGCAAGCAAAGACTATCTTAGGCAAAAAGTTTTAAGGGGGGAGGTTTACTGAAGAGATAGTGGGGGCTCATAGAATCCATGAGAGGCCTAAAATACAAGCTTAGAAAACAGGCAGATATCAAGGCAGCTCTGTTAAGTCAAGAAGCAAGAAGACACTAAGTGTCTTTTAGTGGAAAAGTCTGGCGAAGACAGGCTTGTAATAGGAGCAAATGAGTCCTAACCATTCCCCCCTCTTTGCTACACCTAGATTCAAAGTCTTGATCAGAAGCATCAAATGAGCCAAGTGTAGTTCACATGCCTTGGCTGTCAGAGAGCGGATTGAGGGACATGGGTACAGTCACTTAACAAGATTACAATACAAAAAAATTCCTCCAAGTATAAAGGGGGGGTCGGATGCATAAGCCAACAAAACCCCGTAATAAATCTAGTTAAGAGTTATTTCAACCTCAAATAGCCAAAGCAACCCTGAGAAAGAACAAAACTGGAGGCATCATGCTGTCTGATTTCAAACTCTATTACAAAGCTATAATAATTAAAACAGTATGGTACTGGCATAAAAAACACATACATTGGTCAAGGGAACAGAATAGAGCCCAGAAATAAACCCAGGCATACATGGTCAATTAATTTATGACAAAAGAACCAAGAATGTACAATGGGGGAAGGACAGTATTTTCAATGGTGCTGGGAAAACTGGACAGCCACACGTGAAAGAATGAAACAGAACCACCATCTTATACCATACACAGAAATTAACTCAAAATGCACTAAAGGGAGAAATGGGGGACACATCTATAATACTCTCAACAATTTAAAAAATGCACTAAAGATCTGAATGTTATACCTAAACCCATAAAACTCCTAGAAGGAAATAGAAGTAAGCTCCTTAACTAAAAAGTCTTGGTGTTGATTTTCTGAGTCTGAAACCAAAAGCAAAGGCAACGAAGGTCAAAATAAGTGAGTGGGATCACATCAAACTAAAAAGCTTTTGCAGAGCAAATGAAACCATCAACAAAATGAAAAAGCAACCTACTGAATGGGTATCCACAAATATCTACAAATCATGTATCAGATAAGGGGTTGACATCCAAAATATATTGGAAAAACTCATACAACTTAATGGCAAAAAACAAAAACCCAATGAAGAAATTGGCAGATGACCTGGACAGACATTTTTCTAAGGCAGACATACATATGGCCAACAGATACATGAAAAAGATGTCCAACATCATTAAGTTATTAGGGAAAAGCAAATAAAAACCACAATGAGATTCACCTCACATCTGTTAGGATGGCTATTATCAAAAGGACCAATAACAAGTGCTGGAGAGGATGTGGAGAAAAAAGGGGCCCTCATTCACTGCTGGCGGTGTAAACTGGTGCAGCCACTGTGGAAACAGTATGGGGGTTCTTAAAAAATTAAGACTAGAGCTACAATACGAGCCAGCAAGCTTCTGTGTATCTACTACCCACATTTGAAAACACTCATAAAGATATATGTACCCCTATGTTCACTGCAACACTTACAATAGCCAAGACATGGAAACGACCCAGATGCCCACTGCTGTGTGACTGGGTGGAGAAGATGCGGTGCATACAGACAATGGAATACCACTCGGCCATAAAGAAGATGAAACACTGCCATTTGCAACAGCCCGAAAGACAAAAATTGTATGACTACTCACGTAGGATACAAAACAAAAAGCAACAAATGAGCAAACAAAACAAAAACGAACTCATTCTTACACAAAACAATGATGGTTACCAGAGGGGAAGGAGGTAGGGGGAGGGGAGAGTGCGTAAAGAGGACCAAATATATGACAAGGGACGAAAACTACACTTTTGGGGGTAAGCATGCAAAAGTACATAAATGTTGCCCTGGCCAGTGAGCTCCGTGGTTAGAGCGTGCCCACACTCACCGAAGAGTCATGGGTTCGATTCCTGACCTCAGTCTGGGCATATGTGGGAGGCAACCAATCGATGTGTCTTTCTCACATTGAGATGTTTCTTTCTCTCCCCCTCTCCCTCTATCTAAAAAGCAATGGAAAAATATCCTCCGGTGAGGATAAAATAAAATAAATTTTAAAAGGAAGAGAATGTATAGATATTGAATTATAATGCTGTGCATCTGAAATATAACATTTACATAATATTTTTAACCAATGTTATCCCAATAAATTTAAAAATTACAAAACAATTTCAGTTAAGGTAAAAATAAAACACTATAAATATTAGTGATTCATTTCATTAACTTTAAATTCACACACCATGCATCGCTGTCCAATAAAGTTCTAATAGCGAAATGAAAAGTTGGTTTCACATTAGAAAATATATCAATGCAAGGTAACATGTTACTAAGTTAAAAGAGAAAATTATATGATTTTCATGAATAAATACATCACAGGTCTTAAAGGCTTTTAATATATTTTAAAATGTTATTTCAAAAACAAAAATTCTTGCCAGGCAGGCGTGGCTCAGCAGTTGAGCATCGACCTAGAATCCAGGAGATCGCGGTTTGATTCCCGGTCAGGGCACATGCCCAGGTTGTGGGCTCCATCCCCGGTTGGGGGCATGCAGGAGGCAGCTGATCAATGACTCTTTCATCACTGAAGTTTCTCTCTCTCTCTCCCCCCCCTCTCTCAAATCAATAAAGATGTATTTTAAAAAGTTGGGGGAAATGCAAGTTTCTCATGCCCCTCCCCTGGAAAAAAAGTGCATCATGAAATTATAGGACTTTTTAAAAAAAACAAACCAAACCAAAACAAAAATTCTTTACAGGTCAACTCATCAATAGAGTTTAATGTCCATCCTTTAACAAATTCCAATCTCCTCTACTTTAATCTCAAGCCACTTTTTTAATCTAAATCTGTTCTCCAGTGCCAAGTCATCAGGAATGTTCTGACCACAGATGAATCACTCAGCCTACAAGGCCAGCTCCTGGGAAGTGTGTGTTAGCATGTGTGTAAGAGTTTAATTAATCATTCTTTAGTAAATTTAGAACATTAAGACCCCACTGGGCAAAGCCTAGATCCAAGGTACACGCAGAAGGAATTACTGATAGAGGGCCAACCTGAGCAGCCAGCCCAAGAAAAGTGCATAGTGTCTTTATAACTGGGACTAAAAGTTGAACTGGCAAAGAAAAGGGCTCCAGAACATCTTTCTAAGGCCAATTATTCTTGGGAAGGCATTTTATTTTTTTGACTGATCAATCACAACTTGGTGACCCATTAAGCAATAAACACTGGAAAGGAGCTGCTGGCTTCCACAGATTGTGTAAAGTGAGGATTAATGCAATTATCGATATCGTGCTGAACATCTCCTTGGAAACAGCTAAAAATAGCACTCTGAAGAGAAAGCTGCACTATCTCCCAGCTGTGCCAAGAGACTAACTTGATCCCAGTACAAAGACAAGAGTTTATTCTGCTGCTGGAACAGTCTTTCTCCAAAGGATGGCACGCACACTGTGTAATGGTACTGGAATCCAAGGACAGATTTTATAGTGTGCAAGTCCTACTTAACATGCTAAGTGCCAGAAGCAGTCACAGAAATGACTGCTACTCTGCAGCATTATCAGGTGCAGATCTGTCCAGGCTCCGGTC